GATCCATTTTCTTCCAATAATATAGCCAATGTGACTAAAAATAACATAAAATATCATTCAAATATAGTGTAAATTAGTCACTTGTCAATTCTCCCACACTTGAATCATTGCTTGTCCTCAAGCAATTAACACATAATCAACTACAATGATTCAAAAGGTGAAACAATATATGCACTTTTTTTCAAATTTAATTCCTCATGACTTGGCAAACAATCATTATACAATTGTTCAAATTACACTAAATACTCATAATATCAAGAAAAAGAAAGATAATTATACCCTAATTTTAACAAATTAAATTTAATCTCTCACCCTAACCTAATTTCACAAGTAAGCAAATCACATAGTCAATTTATAATTTTTCTTTTCCTATAATCATCTTTTTCTCAAAATTTTTAACTAAGAGGGATTTACGGCCGGATATCTTATTTAAATTGTGAAAACATCTTTTGACGCGAAGACTGGCTCTTTTAGGTGAAGAGCTCCGGTTACTCAACATTTCATTTATTTAAATTGTTATGCATACTCTTAATTCAAGTACCTTTTAACGCGAGTATCAACATTTGTAGATGCCAACCCCCGGTTACTCGATACAAGAATCATTGGAGTAGAACAAAAAACTCTTATTCTTCTTTTTTTTTCTTTTTCTTCTTCTTCTTCTTTTTTTCATTTTCAAAAGTAAAAGACAATAAATAGATATTTTCTTGTAGAAAATATATAAGAATAATCAAAGGAAGAGTATAACTTTTATTGATTATATCAATCACTTACTTGCAAAATTAAGTAAAGAGGAGAAATCTCATTAAACATGCAAAGTTATAGGCATAATTCTCCTTACTTTCCCGGATATACTTTCTAAAATGCAAAAATTCTAATTGCATAATAACCATTTTCAAGTCAAATGAGGACTAAATTTTTCAAAATACATATAAAGTTTCAACAAATGGAAGAATTAGACACTTAAAGTTGGAACAATTTGGCTCTTTTTAAATAAAAGTGCAAAAATTTGAAGAATTTTTGGGCTATAGTGAAATATTGAAAAAAATTTTAGAAAAATTTTGATAGAGTTTTCCTTTGTAACTGGAAGAAATTCCTTGCCAACAAACCCAATTTCAAGAAAATTATCCACATGGCAATATTTTCAAGCACAATTCCAACATTTCTAATGCATTTAAGTTCTCAAAATATCGTCACATGGCATAAATAGCAAAGCCAATTATTCCCCTCTACCACACTTTAACTTTACATTGTCCTTAATGTAAGAAAGGAAAAATAACGGAAGGAAGAGAAAGTAGTACTCCCCTAATGAACTTGCGCTATCCAAATCCATTGCCAAGTGATAAATTTTCAACTTTAAGAAGTCTTGAAACACTAAAATCGCAACATAAATGAAGATCACTTGGATGAGTTCATATAAAAGAAATAAGAAAAATCACTAAAAAGTAAACATTAAAAGCACTAAGGAAAACCACTAAAACAAAAGAAAAACAAGCGACAATGCTAAAGTAAACATGCAAGGTTGGGAAAATGAACGAGGGTGATGGTGACGAGTACTCCATCAAGTAGCTGCTTGGTCAGGTAAAAAAGGTGGAGTTGGTGGAGTTTCAATGCCAAATTTAGCCTCAATGTGACGAAGACACTCGGAATTCTGTTTGTTCTCTTGTCTACTTTTCTTCACATCGGCCTCAATACAAAACAGCTTATCCATCATCTTTTTGAGAAAAGACTGAGTGTCTTGCGGTGATGATGGACGACGTGAGGAGGAAGGATCGGTTGAGACTGGTTGGGTAGTTCTCTCAACCCCTTGAGCTTCTTCAATACGTGCAATTTCAGCTTCTTTCTCTTGCCGACTGTCACCTTGAGCATCTTCTTGAGTCGAAAGACCACCCACGTCTTTGATTTTCAAAAGAAATTTGCAAAAATCCAATGCGAAAATATCCTTCTTCTTGAAGCATGTAGGAATAGCATTAGAGAAATCAATTCCAACCCTTTGAAACACCAAAGTCAAAAAGCGAGCGTAAGGGAATGCATGTTTGACATCATTACTTCGATCCACAGCCCACATGTGGTTGGTGATAATGCTTCCCAATGGAATGTCTTGGATGTTGCCTAGGCCATGCTCCATTTTGTTCAAGAAATAGATGTCGCTTGAGCGCGCTTCATTGGTACTATTTGCTCTTGGAATTATATTGGAGGCAAACAAATAGATGAGAAGACGATGAGACTCTGGAAAGGAAGAAGTCAACACGGAGTATCGCCCAATTTTACGAGTAGACTTGTACTTAATTCCCAAGCGTGCAAGTGCCTCTAGCATGTTCCACGAGTCCAAATCATGAGGTTTAAATGCTTTCTTCAAATCAACCTTATATCCAATGTCAGAAACTTGAAGAAGGCATTGCAAATGAGCTCTATGGATTCGGATTTTGGTTCCTCGCACTGTACTTGTAATTACTTCCATGTCAAAGTGAAAAGACTATTTGTCCTCCACATTTGCATAAAATTCATGGACAAGCTCTTCATAATAAATATTTGGGAGGTTGAAAAAAATTCTCCCATCCCAATTTACAAAGTAGGTCTTGAGATAGTAGACCTCCTTTACATCTGGAATGACATCCTTCTCCACTAACACCTTAGCTCTCCTTTGAGAATTATACTAAGTTTCATTTTCGGCTGAGGTGAAACGCGACCGATTATATGGGATTTGCTCCTCTTGTTCCTCTTGTTCTTGTTCTTCTTCTACTTGTTGTTGAGTCTTCTCTTCGGATGATGGTTCATCTTCAAACACAAGTTGTCTACTTGTTTTTCTTTTCATACGCGGTGGTCTAGAAGTAAACATAGAAACTTCTCCTTTTCTCTTGGGAGGTGAAGATTACACCCCGATTTTCCTAGTGCCAGTCATTGTGCCTAAATAAAATTATTAAGTATTAACTCCATTTAATAGGTATATTATTAAATAAGGATAACGAATACTCGTTCACGTTTACCTTTATCTTTAAAGAGACAAATTCACTAACTTACTTACATAATAAGTAGCAATCAACACCATAAGTAAGTATCAAAATCGATTATCAACAACAAGTGCTCTTATATGAAACATATAAGCACATAATGTCCAAATAGTTAGACGAAACAATTAAACAAATACACAACTCACTCCCATCTTAATGACCTAAATAAGCATAATTAAATACTAAATAGCACCTTAACCATGAGTTTTAAGCTTTAAATGGTTATTAATTCACCTTTCACCAAAAATTCTAGAATAAACATGCCAAAAATAAAGAGATAAGCAATTTAGGCATAAACTTAGCATGTAAATATTCTAGAGCAATCCATCTATCTCATAAAATTTTCTTCAATCCAATTAACTCAAGAAATTGGCTAATAATTATCAAGTCACATTAATTCTCAAAATTAGCTAAAAATTGCTAAATTCACCAAATAATCACAAACCCATGAGTTAAACATCACCAATAATCATCAATAACCTTAATAAGCACAATGGAAAGCACCAAACTTCACAAAATAAAGAAATTCGAAATTACCCAAAAATTAGAAAAAAGTGAAAAATGACAAAATTCAAATGACAATATTTGGTGAAAATTTGTTACCTCAAACTTGTTGGTTGATAATTATGGATGCAAATGGTGAAGAAATCCCAAAAAATCTCACTCTAATTCGGCCTCAAATGGAGAGTTCAAAAATTTGAAACCCTTGTTCTTGCCAAACTCAAATTCGAATTAAAACTTGTTTTTGTTGAAGTTTAAATTATGAAATCATCTCTAGAGGTAAAGAGAAGTGTTTTGGTGAAATTGGTTTGAAGATTGGATGGTGAAAAGAGTGATTTTAGTGAGTAATGTGTGTTTTAGGTGTGAGTGTGTGTAGGTTGAAGGAGAAAGAAAGGGGAATTGTGAGGAATCCCTCTTGTGCTCGATACTGGCCGGATTCTGGCCAGAGAACAAAAAAAATTTGTTGTCCTCCCTTGTATATCCGGCCTTGAATTCAGCTAATATTTGGCAGGATTTGCTGCAAAAAATTTTTATTTCTGTAGTTTTTCGTCCAGTTTTCTGCTTGATCAAGTTTTCACACTCACCCGATTTTCAACTGTTTTCATGTTCTTCAAGAAAAATCCACTTTAAACCATAAAAATGTACTTTTCTCAACCAAATACACTTAGAAACACATGATCATGCATTAATATAACTTTAAATGAAACATTTTAAATGCATGAAATGAATCAAATGAACATAAAAACTCCCATTTTGCTTCAATATAGCCACTTTTACAATTGAGATCATTTGCATGAATCCTTGCCATTGCCACCTACAAAACACATAAAAATACTAATCAAACAACTAAAACCTACTAAAAACAAGAAATCGTTGGGTTACCTCCCAATAAGCGCTTCTTTATAGTCATTAGCTTGACTATAGCACCTCATTTTTTTAAGGAGGTTTAATTAATGAATAATTCACCATTTTAGGTCATGGTGGATCATTAAAAGGTGGTTTAACAACTAGAGCCACGTGTTCTAATGATATGAGAGGTAAAAATAGGTTACCTAATTCAAGTGAGTCATATATATTATCTTGGATGTGCATCACTTGAGTACTCACCAAAGGAACGTCCTCATAGCTTTCTTGGGGAATAATACCTTTAAAACCTATACTTTCAACACATTTCTCAAGATGGGTGAAAAATGAGTCGTTAAGGCTCATCTCTTGAGCTTCAAGGTTAGTTCCAAAAGTACTATCATGTGAAATGGACATTTTCTTTGTGAAACACAATTGAAATTTATCATTTTCATCAAAATGCAATCCATTTTCACTTGCAACATGCTCATCATTCATGCTAGGGTCATAATGCATATTATTAGAAAAAATAACTTCACACAATACATGTAATTGTTCTAGTGACGCCCCCACTTCTCCCTAAGGCGAACCAAAGGGTATCCGCGGGACGCCTACCCAACTCTCGCCAGGACTCACTACAATCCATTATTCGAAAGCTCAAAATACTTTAATTAACTTCAATACATAATTAAAGTACTTCAAATATCTCACACTTACAATTATATAACTTTCAAGCTTAAATACAATCCAACGGAAAAGAGTACAATAGCTATCAGTTATAATATAATTTAAAGTCTCCAAAAGAAAACAATCTAGTACTACGCACGAGCACCCTTGGTCTCGAACCCTGTAAAAGAAAATCACAACGTGGAATGAGCTACACAGCCCAGTGAGGTTCCAAGACACTCTAACAGTTCAAATAAATCAAGTAGGTTGGGCATATCATATGCATGGTTCAAGGTTACACAATGGCATGTTATCATGAGGTGATAATCATTATACGGGTAATTTGAGACATGTATCATGGTATGAGACATTTATCATGAGACAGTTATCATGGTTCAAGACATTGGCATGTATAGTTCACGAGTGATTGGAACTTATTACAGGTGCGAGTAATTAAGCATATTACAGGTATGGAGCATTAACATGAAACAGATATCATGATATGAGTACATTGGACAGGTAACAGGTATGGAGCATATCACAGGCATAGCTCAGGATTTCATGTTGGAATTTTAGCATGAAACAATTATCATGATACAAGGTAAACATATACTGTAGGATACGGTGTTCCAGTGGAACTCTGTCGGTCATCTGCACCTTATGACTTCCGGATCCCCTCGGTTTGATTGGCCATCACCTTATCCCTCCAGTGGTATTACTCGAGTATACCGAAACGGTGGCCCAGGGTTCCAACCTACCCGACCGAGCCCAATCCTGGCTCAAGTAAGTCAGTAACCAAGGGTAGGGCCCAAGTTCAGTTTAGAGCTTACAACATGCACGGTAACCAAGTAATTCGACAAAAGGTAAAATTCATCATTTGAGTAGGTCAAGTGAGGTAAAGTATACACTCGCCTAATAATAATGGACAGTTTCATATAACATGTGATTCATGATAATCAAGTAGTCAAGTGGATACTTAGCACGTTGCACGTAAGCAATACAAGTTGATTTCATGGAAGCATGTAATTCACGAATATCGAAGAGTCATGCAGATTGGAAATCATGTGAGCAGATAGTCAAGTAATCAGGTAGTCATGTGGGTTGGTAAACGGTTAACGGTTAACGGTTAACGGTTAACGGTTAACGGTTAACGGTTGACGATTAACGGTTGAGTAGTGACGGTTAATTGACAGGCATTTGTCATATTAATAGGCCATCATTGGCCGTTATCCCATTTTTACCATGTGAGAGTCGAGGAGATTCACTCCAACGACGTATGCAACCTTAGCATACCAAGTCATGTTATTCGAGCATTTCCAAGCATGAGTTATTCATCTCAAAAGAGAACGAGTGCGATAAAGTACACACTCGACTCCATTTTTCAAAAAAAAATCGAGTAGGCTAAGCAAGCAATCTAGCAAGTTAAGCATGTATCGAGTTCATATGGTCATTTGATATGGTTAATCATTTAACCAATTCATGGAGATATGCAATGCAAGTATACATTCCTTAAATAGGCATGAGTATGGTAAATACTTAACACATAGTACTTAGCAATTAATAATCATGAAATAAACATGTCCTAAACTTATTCAAATACGTATTCCTATATGGAACACTCACCTAGTCAAAACAAGCGAGTAGTTCTCAAACAAGCGTTTTAGGTGTCCGCTCCGAGATCCTCTTGAAGGTTCCCTCGAGTGCCTGAGCAAACAATCGTTGTTTATTACACACTATCGTTTAAAATCCCCAATTATCACGAAGGGTCACACACTAGTACAATCTAGAAAATATCGCAATGATGAGCCTAAATTTCCTCGTAAAATCAAGGTCCAAGAGTAGAGTTCAAAAACTCAAGAATAATCCGATTTTTATCCCCAAAATCATTGGATGGAAGCAAGTAAGTATGAAATCAAGAAAATCATTTTTCAAACGAATGACCGAAGTCGGATGAAGATAAGACACGTCACAATCCGGCGAAGAACTGGCCGGATATCCGGCCGGATTTCTATGAAAATGTTTCCCGCGCAAATATTTTCAAAAAGTTAAGAATTATCGGATTTAGGGGCATTGTTGGAAAAATCATAACTCATTCTCTGAAAGTCCAAAATTGGAAAACTTGATACCATTGGAAACCTCTTTGAAAGTAATAAAAGTTATTAGAAGACACTTTTCAATGAATCCAAGTGGAAGACATTCAAAAATTGGTTCAAAGTTCGTAACTTGAATTACCAAGACAGATTTAAGTTGATTTTCGGCCAACTTTGGAAATTCAGCAAAATTCACTTGTTTTGAACTAACCTTTGAAATTTGAAAATTAGTTAGTGTTGAAATCCAAGAGTATAAAAAAGCAAGCGGAATGAGAAACGGAGTTTCGAGCACCAAGATATAGTACTCCAAGTTGCTGAAAAAGTTAAGACTGTGGGCTATTTTCCAGGTTTGAAGACAAGATTCGAAGTATCATTTGGTCATCGAGTTGGCATTGGAAATACATAAAACTTGGTACACTAAGTCTTCCATGTGTGAACAACATTTCTACCAAGTTTCATACAAAAACTCTCACGGTAAGGCAGTCATTAAAACAACCAAAGTTTATGAAGAGTTTCAAGGCTAAACTACCTTCTCACTTTTCTTTTGTTTACAAACTTTTTGTACCATGAAATCAGTTCCAAATCTCTCTATTATTGAAACCAAGAGTTCATAAACATCCACTGAGCAATTTAAAGACCATTGACATCCAAATTTTCGAAATAAAACTCTCCAAATCAGATTTGACCATTTGGCTAAGAGAAAACGAAAAGTTTCCAGATTCGATGAGTGAATTTTGTGACATCATTTGCATATCAAAATGGTCTTAGAATATTACCAAATTTTGCAAAATTAAACCTCCATATGAGGATTACTCTTCTATCAAATTTTATTTGAAAATTCACACGGGAAGGTAGTTAACTAAACCATCAAAGTTCAAGAAATTTCCCAAGATAAAATTGTCTTCTAGCTCTTCTTTCCTTTTTAAACATTTTGTCCAAAGCAACCAACCCAAATCTGGTTTATTTGTGAAACAAAGTCCAAGGAACATCTAATATAAAGTTTGGTAGATGTTGGACGTCAAAGTTTCCAAAACAACAAGTCCCAAATCATTGTTAGTTACAAATCTGTCCAAGTAGAAAATTCTATCACTATAGCAGTTTTAATCTTTGGCCACAACTCACTCGATTCAACTTGGAATTGGGTGTGGTTGATGGCGTTGGAAAGCTCTCTCATAAAGCTGAATTTTATCAGAAGAAACCATTTTCAAATTACATTCACAAACAGCTCGTTTTTGAGCATCAAGATACAAGTCCTGTCCTGTCTCCTGGAGAGAAACGAAACAGGACAGTGATTTTCAATCGAATGGTGTGACTCACTCAAGGGGAACCAGAACATGAAATTGGTACTAATGGAAAGCTGGGAATGTCTAGTTTCCAATGCCACAAACGGCACTTGATTTTGACATCGAAGTGAAGAGTTATGGCCGATACAAAATGACTGCCTGGGCAATACGGGATTCATTTTCCAGTTTTGCTAACTTTGGAAATCAACTCATTTGACCAACCAAACCTCAATATTTTTCAATGAAACTTTCTACACAACTCATATAACATGTAAATAACATAATCAAGTCATTAAACCCTCAAAATTCTGCAGAAAAGGGTACAATCAAAGCAGGGGCAAAATCAGAATTTTTTTTCTCCATGCACCCCTTGAAGTTTCTACTAGGTATACACCATTAATCTACCATTTTGAGCATTAAACCAACATTAAATCCATCATCAAGCATGAAATCAGTCCCCAAGACAAAGGTGGGAGTTCATAGAGCCCACCCATTTTATGTTGCACTAAATTAAAGCTACCCATGAGAATCCAAGAGCTCATGAGTGTAATCTAACTTCCATAAATCAAGAATTAAGAGGTTGATCGTTCATTACCTCTCTTGATGACTAAATCAGAATTTTTCGTCACTTTGAAGCTCAAGAAAACCATGGAAATGAAGCCCCTTTTCTAGCTTAAGATGATCACCAAGTGATTAGCTAGGTGTGGTTCAATTTTGGTGGAGTTTGGTGGTGTTTTGTTGAAGAAATGAAGATGGGATTTGAAGAGCTTTGAGTGGTTTCTTTTGTTTCCTTGGCCGGCTGTTCTTGGAGCAGAAAAAGAAGGAGTTGTACGGCACTTTAGATGATGAATTGAAGGGTTTTGATCTAGTGTGATGCACCCATGAGAAGCTTAAGAATGTGTGGCCCAAAATGCTCCAAAAGTCAACTCTCCTGCGTTTTGTGCTCGATTCCTCTTGCATTTGTTTCACTAGTGCACTAAACCTCTAATGCACTTCCATTCATATAAATATTATTCACTCTTAATTGTCCCAAAATAAGGGTCTAAAATCCCTCAATTAAATCGTGCGTGTGAAAATGCGTATTTCCAATTTAAGCGCGATAACGCAAAATCTCTAAGAAATTCTTATAACGATAGTACTAATAACTATCACTTGAGTATTTAAACATTAAAATACCTAATTTAGGTCCATTGTACATGTCTCCAATATTCCAAATTTATTGTACTCTCAATCGATCAAGATTTCCAAAGACGTGTTCACTATTTTCACTAAACGAGCTCCCGGAAATTAATTTTTGAAACTAGTCAATTTAAAAATATAATGAAAATATATTTCCATGTAATTAGGTCTCAAGAGCTTAGAAAATAATATTCAGAATAAAAGGCCAAATAAATAATTAAATAAGCTAGAAATAGGAGATTAAATAAGTAAATTTTACGAGTCCTCACAGTTCTTGTATTCTACAAAAGTGCGAGGTTAATTCATCTAATCTTTCCTCAACCCTATCAAAACGACCAGAAGTCGCATTAGTTAACTTTTCTATGGCTAAAATTGATTATAGAATTTTCTACAGCTAGCTCCCAAGATGCATTAGAACCATTAGTTAATGTTTCACTTTCTAATTTCCAAGATAGAGGTGCATTAGCTAACCTTTCTATTGCCAATTTCCAAGAGGGTTTAGATTCAAATTAGACACATTCGAGTTGGTAATCATAAAAACATGGAGAATCACTATATGCACATTGATTATCTCAACCATAAGCATAAGAATTCCCCCGATAAGGGTTTTCTTGATCAAAACAAGAATTATAATGCCCAAATTCACCATAATAATTCATATTTTGTACTTTTCTACATGTATGAGTAGCATGATAAGCTCCACACAAGTCACAAATCATATGATAAAAATTAAAAGTATTAACATTCCTCTTTTGCTCAATTTTATGCATAATGGTGTTCAATTGAACTTGTAACATTATAACATCAAATTTAGCCTTTAAACTCTTTCAACCATTTTCGAAAGACATACCTTTGATAATTTTTTAGTTACCTCTATCAAAGGAGTTTTGCACGTAGTAACCATTCGTTGCAGACCTTCTACTTCTCAAGCATTGTCTGCCCATTTATTCTATTCTCCTTGAACCCCTAAACATGCTTTTAAAATAATTCAAAACAAGTTTAGTCAAGAAGAATAGATGACTTGACACACAAATGAAAACATACAAATAAAGACTCAACAAACATATAAGACACAACAAAATAACACTAAACACAAGAAAAACAAGAAAAATGTCTAAATTAATAAAGTTGTTCTTGGTACCGATATTGGCAAATCTTCCCCGGTAACGGCGCCAAAAACTTCACGGGATTTTACTATAAGTACATGTTTAAATCCAATTTATACCCGTTTTGATTGCAAGTATACATGTCAACTAGTAGTTTAGCACATATATCGGGTCGATCTCACGAGAAAGATTGAACAATTACCGGCACTACTAAAACTTCTCTATTATTTAGATGATCAATGAATTAAAAGAAATAAAACTATGCTAAACTTATACAAGATAATAACAAATGAAAACTTCTTAGGTTATGATATTCCTAACTATAGTGCTATTTTTGGATCATTGAGTACTACTATCTTGACTAGTTATGGCGTAATTTCCTTATGCATGTGAAACCTACTTTCATAGTGAATCAACTATACTTATAACTAATCCATACCTACTCTCGTGGTTATGAAATTAGTTACAAGTTCATTTCTTCTATGAAATTACATGAAATGAATCACTAAAACCATATAGGTGCACATCTACTCTCGTGAGTGTACTCCTTAAGTTTAGCACTTCTTGAACTAGTATTAAATCTCAATTTTCATTGAAGAAACAACACCTTTAGATAATCACAATTAATGGTACCAAGCTAATCATGATTTAAAGAGTTAAAGTGCTAAATAACTTGCTCAAAATAATAGCATCAAATAGCCAAATAATAAACACTAACAATCATAAAAAGTTCAACCAAACCCAAGGCATAAACTTTAGAAACACATAATAAACATAAAATCCAAAACTTGTATATTAACTAAACTTAGAATCTAATACAAAAGATAAAGAGTTGGAAAAGTAAAGTAACCCTTGTCACTTGAGCTCTTTCCTTGCCTTCTTCATCTCCATCTTCATTTTCATGTAGCTAACATACAAGAAAGGATAAACTATCTAAAACTAAACTATCCTACACTACTCTACACTAAAGAACCAAAAAACTACATTTTTGTAGTGTTTCTTGCACTCTCTAAGCTTTCTTTAATCTTGAAAATCTATGGCTATATATAGAGGACTCTAGTCAAGAAATGAGGCTTCAAACATCCCTTTTTACAGTTGCGCGGTTGTCAATGTCCATCAATAGCTGTGAATTATTGGAGGAAACAAGTTGTGCAAGTGGAGAGTAGCCATTTCTGACCAGATTCTGACCAAGAATCCGGCCAGAATCTAGTCGGATTGTCGGCCGGATTACTCCCCTGTCTTCTTGTACAATTTATGTTCAATCTTCAATGTTGTTCTAATTTTGTCTCAACCTCAACTGAACTTTTTTTGATGATAGAAGCTGAATTAACTCTTGACAAAAACATGAAACTTATAGCCCTTTGAGTTATCTTTCAATGCATCAAGAATCACCTCATTTGGATTTGTGTAGGCAGAGAAATGATAGAAATACTCTTGACTGCTCACTGCCTTGTCTCAGCTTCGACTATAGAAAATTAGCTACTATAATTCGGATTTGTGACCTGGAAAACCTTCAAACTGGATTTGGATGTCTCCACAAGATTTGTAGATCTATCTCTTATCTTCACAATGGTCTTAGAATCATCTCAATCTGATCATTGTAGCACAAGTTATAGTCAAAATACGAAAATATATCAAAACTGTCAACTTTCCTTTGCATCCAAATGAAGTATATTTCTAACTCCTATACAAATTATGGATAAAATGCAAGTAAAAAGTGACAAAAACCTCATTTAATCACTTGAAAGCATTTTAAATTAATTATAGCCAGAATGATCCATTTTCTTCCAATAATATAGCCAAAATGACTAAAAATAACATAAAATATCATTCAAATATAGCATAAATTAGTCACTTATCAAGGATTCAATAACCGGGTTCTTTCATTTGGCAAATGTCGGAATTCGCATTAAAAAGCTTAAATGGCTAAAGACTAAGTATTCCCCCAGAAAAAAAAAACTCAAGTGTGGGGATATTTTAGAAAACAAAAAAATATGTGCTAATAGTGAAAAATGTGGAAGCGTTTAATGAATTGTTAGCCCGCTAATCCATGAATTTCAATGTTGAGATTTTGTTTAATAGTCGAACCATTTGCTAATGGATGTTGGTTGAATATTTTATATTCTTAGATTAGTTAGTCCGAAATTGAAAGAGTCCTTAATCTTGAAAGCTAACTGGAGAGATATTTCTTGAAAATTGCTACTAACACTTGACATATGTTTTAATTGTATCTTGACAATAGATGATTCGAGCAATAGCCATTATTTGAATTTGATTGCTTGATTTGTTGTTTTCACACTTGAGGACAAGTATGGTTTAGGTGTGGGGGAAATTGATAGGTTGCATTTTTGTCATCAATTTTATGGTTATTTCCCTCCTTTATTTTACCAAATATTGCGTTAATTGATTAATTCTACTTATATTTGGTTAATTGTGCTAATTGTAGGAAAAAGAGCAAAACGTGACAAAAAGAGAAAATTTTTCAATTAATTTGATAGTGGCACGTTCGGGACCTATTTCCAAATTCGATTCAAACTCTAGGCAGCCTTAGAGGAAGATTTGGAAGATTTGAATTATAATTATTAGTTTTATGATTGAAGTAGGAAACTTGAAATACTTTCTTTTGTGGCTTTAGGAGACTAGTTTTATTTGGTAGTAGACTTGAATTATGAAGCTAGAAGAGAAAAGGCCATTCCCATTTGATTAGGACTTCAACTAAAAATAAAAGCGTGAGGACTATTTGCTTTGCAAGAGGGACGACGGCCACTTGGCCTTTTGGCCAATCTTTTGTTTTCTCTAGTTTTTCTCCTATCAAAGACTAATGCGGCTGGTTTTGGAAAAATAGTGTGAATTGCTTCAATTGGCTATGCGCAATTAATTTCTTTTCTAGTCAAAGAACAATAGAGGTTTTGGTTCATCTAAAAATTGTGAGATCGAACTAATTTTATTTATTTCTCTTATTCACTAGTATTTGCATATTTTTTGATTGTAGTGCTTATGATTGTTATATTAATTGAGTATCCTGGGCCCTGATGTTGAATTAATTTAGCAACCTAATGTCAATTGGAGCGTTAAATTCGTAATTGTTTAATTGCTCTAAAATAATGGCAACTGGCATGATTGGATTTGAGTCAGGGGAATACACAGACTAATCTAAAATAATCCTGGTAACGTGTTATTTGGTTAGAATGTTATTTGGTTAGAATATGGCTCCTCTAATACGTAAAGCAATTGGGGAATTAAATCTTACGGGCATACCTAGAATTATTTCTCGATTAGGGTAGTGATTAACAGGCGTACATTAATCACTGATACAGTAAGGAGAAGTTGACTGTCATCCCTTGTTTGGCAGTTATAACTTATTTATTAGTTAATAATTGGAACTACCTTTGCATCGATGATCAATTAGGAGAACCATTATTGAAGTTATTTCTTGGTTAGAGCTTAGTTATTGTTAATTTGGTTTTAATAAATTGTCATTTAATTTTTAGTTGGCTATTCATTTTTATTCGAACCGTTTAATTATTTCCATTGCTATAAA